TAGAAGTTCACAATATTACTGTATTACTAATATTATTCCACTGTAGAATATGGAAGCTCGTTTCCGCTACAGCATAAAAAAATCTCACAATTGTATTTTTTTTCTTGCAATTTTAAGTTTGTCTCACTATATTCCAACTTCTTGCAACTCTTTTTCTTTTTCATAGAATTGCAAGGTGTTAACTCGCAATTGCAAGATATAAACTTGCTATGTCAAGAAGAAAATTATGAGACAAACTCAAAACTTATGAGATATAAACTCACAATTGAAATAAAAAGTCAAAATCGCAAACTCCGTAATCTTGTAAAACTAATGTAAACTCCAAATTCTGATGAAAAAATTTCAGAATTGGAATATGTAAACTCACAATTGTGAGAAAATTAGCAATTACCTTTATTATTATTATTTTGTTAATTCTGTAGCGGAAACAAGCTTCCATAGTAGAATAAAATTAAATCTAATATAATACACTTAGAATTTCTATTTTATAGGTTTAACAAAATGTAAATACTTGAACTCACAGGCATATGATATGTAGTTTTATACAGTACATGCATCATATATATACATTTATTTATTATGTTCTTTTTAATACCTATATCTTATTATATTTGTTGCTTGTGTATTTAATGTATTTACATTCTTGTGCAACACTTTTGTATGCATTTACAGTTTTTTAAGTGCTCTATAAATAAATGATTGACTGATTAATTTAACTTGCTTAAAAACTAATTTCAACAGCCAGCAGTATTTGATGCATAATATCAACTACTATGTAAATTATATCCTTTATCCTTTATTACTTAAAATGTATTCTTTCTTTCTTTCTTTCTATAAGCGCATGTTTAGAGAAATGCACTTACAATGGAAGTAATCATGCCAGCTTCTAGTGGGTGAATAAACATTTCCAGCTGGTTTTCAACAAAAGATTGTATGCAGACATAATGAGGACACAACTTTATGATTGGCAATTCAAGACAATAGTTTAGCACATCTGTTAAGCTCCATGAAAACAAGGGGTCAGCTTGCTTCTTGACACATTTGTGCAGACATTGTGCACTTTATCTACATTACATAATGATAACAGGAGCAAGATTGTATGTAGATCGTATGTAGATAAGTTTAGTAATCAATTCTACCATTCTAGTCTAATGTGAACACACATTGATATTTAAAGGGGTCATATGATGCGATTTCAATTTTTCCTTTCTCTTTGGAGTGTTACAAGCTCTTGGTGCATAAAGAAGATCTGTAAAGTTGCAAAGACTAAAGTCTCAAATTCAAAGAGATATTCTTTATAAAAGTTAAGAGTCAGCCACAGCTACCTAAAACGGCTCGTTCTAACACGCCCCCACATGTCTACGTCACGATGTGGGAAGATTTGCATAACACCGCTCAAATGTTCACGCAAAGAAAGAAGGCGTAACTTTTATTCTCTCTGTAGTATTGTTGCCGCCGCCGCCATGTTGTGGAGACGCTGTGTGTTTCGTTGTGAAAGCGAAACTACTTTGTTTGGTCTTCCAAAAGAGGACACAACTACAAATCAGTGGTTAAGTTGTATTTACAACACTGTTCCAGAACAGTTCAACCCAAATATCCAGATGTGTTGAGCACATTTTATGGAGGACTGTTTCCTGATCCTGGTAGAGTAGACTACAATGCCGGCTGTTCTGACTCACAGACTGTAAGTACGTTTTTTATATTTAAAGAATTTGCCACTGATGATTCAAACGCGAGTTTTGAGCAGTGTCGAGTAGGGCTTGTTGTTCGTCATTTCTCCGATCACAAATGCAGACATGGTTTTATGTATACGCGGCGCGATGCAACGCAACTTGACTTGTACTGTAAAAAGACAGTACAAGTCATTACAATCAGTAATTATGTCTCCACTGGATGCAACAAATGCTTCGTTTATAATGGGTTTTAATGTTTTTGTCTCGTCGCTCCGGCCGGGACACGGCATCAACAGTATGTGAGGGGCGTAACATTTCCGTCACACGCTTGAGGTATTCGGCCAATCACAATGCACTGGATAGCTGGCCAATCACAGTACACCTCGCTTTTCAGACCGATGTGCTTTGTAAAAGTCGACGCGTTTCAAAAAGGGCATAGAGGAGAAACAATAATGTACAGTATGTGGAAAATAATGTATTTTTTTAAACTTTAAACCGCATAAACACATTTCATTACACCAAATACACAAAATAATGTTCTTTTTAGCAGCATCATATGACCCCTTTAAGTCTTGTGGTGGTAATTGCAAAAAAAAATTTTTTTAATGAGTTTTTAAATAGTCTTTTCTTATGCAGTGTTGCTTTTCAATGAAGTTATCTTGTTTTCAAAAATTGCGGATGTTTAAACTAGAAAATGAGACAAAAACAGACAGATTTTTTCCACTTGTTTTTAATTTATTTATACTTGAAAACAAGTGGAAAAAAATCTGTCTGTTTTTGTCTCATTTTCTAGTTTAAACATCCGCAATTTTTGAAAACAAGATAACTTCATTGAAAAGCAACACTGCATAAGATATTACGACTTGTTTTCATAGACTGCATCTTGAATGTAAGTGTATCTTGTCTTTGCACTTGTCCTACCATTTACTTCCACTGTAAGCACCTTTAAGTAAACACAATACAAAAATTAGACTATTAAAAATAATTTTCTGCATTAATCGACATCTGCTGTTGATTTGATGACCTTAGCTTGCATTGATCCAATGTTATTTTAATATTATTTATATGCTATTATTGTTTTTTTAATATTTTTGTGCTTTCAGTTTTCATTTTAATTTTAGTTTTTTAAAGTAATTTTATGTCTTCTATCTATCTATCTATCTATCTATCTATCTATCTATCTATCTATCTATCTATCTATCTATCTATCTATCTATCTATCTATCTATCTATCTATCTTTAAAAGTTTTTCATCTAATATTTATATTTGTAGATTTTATTTCAGCTTCATTTCAACTAACACATACTGTATGTTTTTAATGGTTTTAATTTTAGTTAACAATAATAACCCTGATCCCAAAAACATTTCTCAGTATCAGGCCTGAGGGAAAGGGTCCCCACCCATGAACAGTTTGTCTGGGCCTTGTGAATCTAAGCAAAGATCCTGTAGAGCATAACTGGACATATTTATATTCCCTATAGACATTTCTATGACTTTTCCAGGCCTGGAAATCACATTTTTAAAATATTATGTGTGAAGGACTGGCATGCTAATCTCAAATAAGTCACTGGACACTGACAGTCTTCAGCTGCACTGTCTGCGGATGCTGAAAAGAAGAGCAATGAAGGAGAAACTGAGTGCGAGATGAGCCCTCGGGCACAAAAACCTCGCGGCAGACTTCACCATCGACTGTCGGGAGGCACGCCTGAGGGTCTGTTCCGGCCACACATCACTCACAGGCCGGGCCCAAGAAATGGCTTTCTAATTACTTCGCATTATGGTCTATTAGGACACTACATTGATGTTTCTCTGCAGGATCTCACCGAGCAATTTACTCTCTGTGCTTGTTCTCAGAATTGTAATGGCCGCCATTTTCATGTACAGTACACAATGCAGATTTTTTAGCTAACAAGACAGTATTGAGTGTGGACAAACAGGTCTAAATGAGATGGATTGTGGATATTTATGCTCATACCCATCAAGGACTGTTATAATGAGGATGGTGAGGTCTTAAAAAAATATCAACCATTCCAAGCAACAACTGTCAATAGTGTTTTAGCGCTAATGAGAACGCCGGAGGAAGGAAAGTTTCCTCTCAGTGATTTGTAAACGGATGTGAGCATGTGGTCTGCCAAAGAAAATCTGATATTGGCTCAAAAAAATGAACAAATGTTGAAAGGAGAGCACTGCATGCCACAGACAGAAATAATGCTGATCGCAAAGCCAAGATTGAATCAATGCTGAATACTGTGGAACGGTTCCAGTGATGGAAAGACCTGTGAAATATACAAATGAATTGAATGGAACACCGACATTATTTAATAGGGGAGAACAGCTGGTAATGATTTTACATATGTCACATAACATGTGTCACAATAGCTGAATACCTAAAAAACTGAAAAATGTCCAATGAAAGGGAGTCCAGTGACCCCGAGGTGACCACCAAGAAGGGGTTTCGGGTCCGTGAAAAATTTGATAAAAAAACAAAAAGAATTATGTATTTTTTAGGGCTATGCACTATTTTATTTCATCAACAGTCCTAATTTTTAACAGCAAGAAATACAAATCTCCATATGATTTTGAATGAATAAATAAATAAAGACAGAAATTCTATTAGTTGCTGGTTTTGCAATAATAAATATGAAATATAAAAATATTATGTATATAATGAAATATTGTTTGTTATTGGACATTTATTATATGAATGAATGAATTAATATTAGTCGTTGCTGTTGCAATAATAAATACTGTATTTGATAATTAAATAATTTAAATGATTTTTATGTTTTTATTAACAATGGCCAGTTATGCTATATTTATGCATTTAAATATGTATTTAATATTTAAATAAAAAAAATTGGCGGTCCACGTTTTATCAGATATAAAGAAAAAACATTAACTAACTAGCTAACTAACTAACTAAATAAATCAGTTGATATATAATCCTACAAAACCCCAAAAAGTTTGAAAGCTTGAAAAAAAGTGAAAAAAGTGTTAAAAATTGTGAAAAACAAAGAAATAGTGATCATTTATAGTACAGTTTTTTTAAAGTCTCAATGACTGTTCCTGCAAGAGGGTGCTCAAAGAGAGGGTTGTCAAATATTCATGAATCTCCTCTCTCTCTCTCCTGACATGTCAGAAAAAGTTGCGGTTAACCCTTATTCTTTGCTGCCTTCCTTCAGAAACAATGGCCCGTTTACAATACAAGAAGCCTTGGCAACTACAGAGCAACATCTGTTTGTTTGTGGCACTCAATGCCTCGGCAAACCACCAAAAAGTCTCAGTATCGCAATTTCAAGAAAAAGAAAGGCCTTCAAACTCTGTACCTTGGCAGGTGGGTAAGGTGCCGCTCCAGGTGCCGTTGTGGGTGCAGGTGCGGATAACGAAGCTCCCGTTCTCCATCACATAACCGGGCTGGCAGGAATACGTCACGTTCTGGCCGATGGTGAAGTCCTCGCCGAACCTCAGGCCGTTGGCAGGTCCGCCTGGATCCCCACAGCTGATCACTATTAGAGCAGAAGAACGACAGTGTTTGGAGGAAAGCGCATTATGGAAATGTATGTCTTGAATCAGGGACACCATTATCTGTGTGGGTGTACATGAAGAGTCTAAACACACAACATCATTAAATTGTTTATGGATTCAAGACTGTCCCCCCAGAACTAAAACTAAACAAACAATTATTCTGGATGCTTCTGCTACAGTTCTGCCTGCCACACTGAGAGCATAATGGTCAAGCCTCAGGTTAGATGCTACAGCTGAAAAATGGCACATTTTGTACAGAACATCTTCAGTTCAACAAGGGAAGTCGTGGCCTAATGGTTAGAGAGTCGGACTCGTAATCCAAAGGTTGCGGGTTCGAGTCTCGTACCGGCAGGGATTGTAGGTGGGGGAGTGAATGTACAGCGCTCTCTCCCACCTTCAATACCACGACTGAAGTGCCCTTGAGCAAGACACCGAACCCCCAACTGCTCCCCGGGCATAAAATGTTCACGGTGTGTATGTGCTCACTGCTGTGTGTGTGCACACTTTGGATGGGTTAAACACAGAGCACTAATTCCGAGTATGGGTCACCATATTTGGCCACTTCACTTCACAAGACTGTCAAAGCATTATGATATATGCAGCATTACCGCATTGTAATACTATCATTGCAATAATATTCAGTAGTAAATAATCATTTTACAGGTTATATTCATCAGCGGTGTTTGCCAAAGCAAGAATGTCTTACTATTATTAATAATTTTACTATGTATTAAATCTCAAAATGTAACTCATCTTCATGATTTGGGGTCAGGAAGATTTTTTTTTAAAAGAAATTATTATTATTTTTATTCACCAAAAATGCATTAAATAGATCAAAAGTGACAGTAAAGACATTTATAATATTACAAAAGATTTACATTTCAAAATAAATGTTTTCTTTTACTTTCTATTCCTCAAATAATCCTGAAATAAATGTCATGATTTGAACAAAAAGTATTAAACAGCACAACTGTTTTCAACATTGATAATAAGAAATTATATATAATTAATTTGTTTTAATATGTCAAGAAATATAAATGCAAAATGTTTCTTGAACATCAAAAATATCTAATCATATTAGAATGATTTCTGAAGGATCATGTGACTCTGAAGACTGGAGTAATGATGCTGAAAATTCAGCTTTGCATCACAGGAATAAATTGCATTTTAAAATGTATTCAAACAGTTATTTTAAATTTGTAATAATATTTCACAATATTTCTGTTTTTACTGTATTTTTGATCAAATAAATGCAGCTTTTTGCGAGCGTAAGAAACTTCTTAAAAAATATAAAAAAATTGTATCAACCCCAACCTTTTGAACAATAGTGTATCTATATAATTTTTTATAATTATTACTTAAAATATGTAATGTAATAGATTATATTACTAACTACAATTTTCGTCATATAACTTGAAATCAGTAATTGACTACAATTTATTAGTAATCTTCTCAGCACTGGTAAGCAACTACTTAGAAACCACCTAGAACACCCTAGCAACCATATAAGATATTCAAAATAACGTATAGATAAATTGTGCCGGATTTAGTGTCTGTTGCCCTGAATTTGCATTAACAGTACTGGTATGAAGTCAATGGTTACATTGCATTTTAAAAAGACAAATTATTGTGAGTTTTAAAATGCATGTAAACACAGTGCATTTGGGGCGGGACTTCCTGTTCAACCAATCAATGACAGATGGGGGGAGTGTTTAATTATATTCATCATTTGTGCCAATCTGAAGTGACTTCAACTTTAACATCCACAGTTTATCTTGTCACATCAACAAAGAGCATCTGATCAGAGCGTTGAGTAATGTCATGTGAATTTCACCGCAGTCCTGCAGCACTCCCCTGCTCATTATTCTCCCACTACCCCGACATCAATCTCGCATTATATGTCAGCGTGAGATTGATTCTGCCTGTCATCTCATCCTACTATTACTTAGACAGCGGCAGTAATAAATCTTGTTCCATTAATGAGATTGCTCACGAGGTGAGCAGGGTCCACATCTGAGCAACAACAACCGCATGATAAGATGGTTGGGCTAATTACAAATGGGCGTCTTGTTATTACGGAAAGTCTTTCCTGTTCGAATGCCAACATTTATTGAGAAACTCAGTCGGGGGGGGAAACAAAACAGATGAAGGAAGGCTTGAACACTGCCAGCATGTTTGAGTTTTTCCAGGATGTACGAGAACAGCTTGAGTACATACGGGTGCAGTTGGGCTCGCTGCCAGACCAGGTACCGTTCGCCAGGCACTGACGGGAGGGCGACCCGGAGAGCCGGTATCCATCCACGCACGAGTAGACGATGGAGTGAGAGAAGGTGGTGCCGTGAACACGCAAAATGCGCCCATTAGCCGGAGTCCCAGGATTCCCGCATTGAACAGCTATTGGATGAAAAAGAATCACATTAGCAGAAAAGCACATGTCCAGCTGGGTCATTCCTTTCATCTAGGACTTTATGAGTACGGTAGCCTTTGAAAAATGAACATGTTTGTGATTACAGGAAGTACACAGTAAAAATCTTTTTTCTAAGTTGTAAACAAAGATTATTGGAGCACATTTTTCTACTTAAACAATTTAATTTAATTCAACGTGCCATTTCTGTCATCATTATTATTATTTTCATTTATTTATTTTTTTTAAAGAAAGTTACTGGCGATTTCTGAAAAAAAAAATTCTCTCCAGTGTATTTGGATAAAATGTCATAGCTGACTTCCTGAAAATTTGCTTCGGTCAAGTGTCGTTATCGTTAACTAAAACTATTAAAAAATATGGTTGTTAATTGAAATAAAATGGAAATTATATCAATATTAGATGAAGGTCAATGTACTAAAATTAGAACACTCAATTAAAAAGAAATCACAACTAGAGAAATTTTTTTTAAATGATTTTTTAAAAATGAAAACAGAAAAATAAAAATAAGAGCTAATTCAAAATAGTAAAATAATACAATAATATAGTTATAATAGTAGAATATTAATACTTTTCTAAAAATTGGCAAAACAAACTTTCAGAAACTTTGCTTCAGTTTAGTGTTGTTGTTGTTAGCTACAACTAAAACTATTAAAAATGCTTTATGTTAAGTGAAATATGGTTAAAATAAAATATAAATAGTAGATGAAAAACTTAAATGAAATTATAAAATACTAACATGACTAAAACGGAAAAATAAAAACAAGGCTTAAAAGAAATAAAAAAATACTAAAACTTTAACTAAAATAATAATAATAATAATAATAAAGATCACACTTTAGTTTGAGGACCAATTCTCACTATTAACTAAATATTAACTATGGGTTTTGCCTCAAACTCTGAATTTTCTGATTATTAATAGTTAGTAAGGTAGTTGTTAAGTTTAGGTATTGGATCGAATTGTGTTCTACAATGGTCATGCAGAATAACGCATTAATATGTGCTTCATAAGTACTAATTATCAGCCAATATGCTAGTAATATCCATGCTAGTAAGCAACCAGTTAATAGTGAGAATTGGTTCTTAAACTAAAATCTAAAGCTAATTCAAAATATTAACAAATACTATGATAGTACTTTATTAAGCACAACTTGATTGTTCTGTATTCATTTGGATTGATTTGGAAGAGCCTGGGATGTTTTTACTGGGATCTTTTTGTGAAGCTAATAGATTTCTTTTAGTTTTCCCCGCTCACACATGGGTTGAGTGGGGTTAAACTGCAGGAGATGTTGGTGTTTGTTCGGCCTGGAAAATCGCAGGGGGGCATGATGGGATTTAATGCAAGACAAGCTGTTAGACCAGAGCTGCGTAGAAAAAACATTCAAGCTTGAGAAATTTCCGCCTCCTGGGACCTGCGCGCTAACAATCTGTAAATCTGTTTTATAGCCCAGCATGGCACTGGACCGCAATAACCTGTCACCCTCGAGATGACACGGACAATGCGTCGGACTAAAAGAGCTGCAAAATCAGCAGAAAAAAAACAACAAACACTTGTGCCATTTCCTCAAAAGCCTCTGGTGCAAGGTCGGCAATAACCTGTCACCCTCGAGATGACACGGACAATGCGTCAGACTAAAAGAGCTGCAAAATCAGCAGAAAAAAAACAACAAACACTTGTGCCATTTCCTCAAAAGCCTCTGGTGCAAGGTCATCTTTTGCATCAATTACAGAATGCATTAATGCCGTGACACCAGCACAAATGTTTGACGAGAGAAAAGACTTCTCATTTGATGCATATCAGTGTCTCGGTGTGTACTCGCGCCGCTCCTCGCTGTGCGCATGCATTATTCATGGTGTCTAAAGGAGTTACTTACGTTTACAGGTGGGCTGACGGCCCGACCAAGTGCTGTTGGGGAAGCAGATCCGTTCTGCCGAGCCGTAGAGCGTGTGACCCGTGGCGCAATTGAAGCGCACTTTAGCGTGCTGCTGAAAGCTGCCCTCCTCTCGGGTGGCATGGGCCGGCGTGCCCGGATCCCCGCAGGTACCCCTTTTATCACCTGTGGAGGCAAGTGCACATACATTCTAGATACTATACTATTCTGCATACCATATCCTCATTTTTCCAGCTAAGCGAGCACATGTATTTTTCTACTTGGATAGAAGCAAACTGCATGCATCTTCTTGGGTTGACGGCCCGACCAAGTGCTGTTGGGGAAGCAGATCCGTTCTGCCGAGCCGTAGAGCGTGTGACCCATGGCGCAATTGAAGCGCACTTTAGCGTGCTGCTGAAAGCTGCCCTCCTCTCGGGTGGCATGGGCCGGCGTGCCCGGATCCCCGCAGGCACCCCTTTTATCACCTGTGGAGACAAGTGCACATACATTCTAGATACTATACTATTCTGCATACTATATCCTCATTTTTCCAGCTAAGTGAGCACATGTATTTTTCTACTTGGATAGAAGCAAACTGCATGCATCTTCTCAAAAAAAGAAAAAAGTTGACAGTAAGTTACTGGACGTATGTGCAACTCTGCATTTGTACAATAAAATAAAAACATAATTTATTTTATTTAAAGATTTTTTTTTACAAATGAGGACACTGCCAAAAAGAGGTTTTGTCAGATTTAGTTCACTTATAGGTACACATTTGTCCATAAAATGGTTAAGTAGGCACACACACACACACACACACATGTCTGGACAGCTATCCTTGTGGGGACTCTCCATAAGCGTAATGGTTTTTCTACTGTACAGACCGTATATTCTATTGCCCTACACCAACCCTACCCCTTACAGGAAACTTTCTGCATTTTTAGATTTTTAAAAAACGTAATTCTGTATGATTTATAAGCTTTTGTACCCGCGGGGACCACAATTTAGGTCCCCACCGTGACACGAGTCCCCATGAGTCTGTGTGTAGTCAGGTTTAAGTCCCCACCAGGATATATAAACCAGTACACACACACACACACACACACACCCACACATACACACACACACACACACACGTGTGTGTATATATATGTTGTGTGTGTATATTTGTTTTCAGAGGGATTAACTAGAAATAAATGGTTTAGGTCATTACCATGTAATCTAGACAGTGTAAAATGCACCAACAACCCTTTTCTCACCTTTTGAACTCAAACGCTAAACTAAAATTTGATCACAGATGAGACTATAGGGATTAAATGAATTAATGAAAGACGATTTGACAGCAAAACAGACCTTCTCAGTGATGTATTAGATATTACTAATGTAAGCGGGACCAGCCCTGCCCCCTCAGATCAGATGAGAGCTTCATTTGGCCACAGAGGAGTTTTTCAGAGTGCCGAACTGCCACTGCTCGAATAAAGAACAGTTACGGATCTCAAAGGAACACTTCCTCTGTTCTCTGAGCTGTCACTCACCATGGTTTCAGAAGATTTGAAAAGAGGAACTTTTTGTGCGTGAAAATACAATTTGATTGAGCTTACACAATCTTTTTGCTCACCTGCCTTGTACGATTAGGTAGAGATATGAACTATGACAGCCACTAGAAAAGCAAAACCATTGACAACTGCTTTTTATTACTGGAAAAATCTACTACTTCTTGCATTTCACCTCTGCTATAGCTCGTTTCCTAGTCTAGCTTTCTAATAAACCTGTACACTATAAATATTGCTGGCTCTGTGATGAATTGCTTATGTTCCTCTATTGTAAGTCATTTTGGATAAAAGCATCCATTGAATGCATAAATAATGAATAGCTCAGCAAAAAATTTTAATATTTGTACTTTTTGCTGCACTTACCTGCTCTCATGTCTTAACTCACATTACTCTTAATACAATTACATGATTGTGTTTATGGGGTGCAGTCTAACATGTGTTAATGCTTCGTTTTTTAAAAAACGCATTATTTTTCAGATAATTTACCTTTATTCCACACCACTCTGTCCCTTCTCTGAGAAACGGGCTGATCTTTTCCTGTTTTTATGAAGCCCCGCCCTCAGGAATAGGCGATGGGCTGTGATTGGTTAGCTAGCCCAGTGTGTTGTGATTGGCTAAACCGCCTCTAGTGCGCGTCAAATCATCCCGCCCCTCACCTCAGCGGCATGTGCTCCGGTTGTATTTGTAAACAACGGCTTCGTAAATATCGCTTATCAGTTTGAGCCTGATTGAGAAGCAGAGGATATTATTGAAGAGGATCGTGCAGAACCTGTGCAAGCACGGCTTTTAATGGTAGGCCTATGTTTTATGTAGGCCTCATACTTTTGGATATGCTGTTATTTGTAAATGCTACTGCTTATGTTAGCTTTTAATATACGGTTTTATCCTGATTAAAGCTTTAATACAGTATGGCAACTGCACGCGAGTCCATGTATAACGCTTTTCATAGCTATGTGAAAATAAGTGTATAATTGGAACAGTTCATTGTTGGAGTCGAGTTGAATGAGAGAGAGAGAGAGAGAGAGAGAGAGAGAGAGAGATGCAGAGCGTGTGCAGACTGCAGAGCAGGGGGAAGCGAGGAACAGTATTAAGAACCGCTGCTTTAGAACACTGATTTTGAAACCACTGATTGTGAATCCATTAGAATCATTAGAAGACAGAACAGCGATTCATATATGAATAGATTTTTACGTGCACCTCTAGTTTTCTCTTCCTTTTCTCTAAAGGCTTGTTCACACCGGGACGAAAATTGCGCACGATTATCGCCCACGTTTAACGCCTTGTGACTAAACAAAGAGCGCCAATGTGAGTGTGCACACCGGCGCCGCATCAAAAACTGGCCGACCAATGAGATTGGTGCTTTTGTTCACGTGCCTGGAGCTGCTCAAGCACAAAACGGTCTTGCCGAGCACACATTGATACCTAATGACGAAGAGGAAGCAAGTAGACGAAGAAGAAGCATCGAGGCAAGATGAATGTAGAGCTGCTGGTCTCATTGGTGTCTGAACACAAAGGGCTTTATTGCAAACGCGACAACGACTACCAAAATCTCGATAAGAGGGAGTTGTTATAGAGAGGAATTGCAGATCAAATAGGATTCGATGTGTACCGGGGTATTTCTGTTTTTCATTAAACGCCATCTAATGTCAGGGAGTGAATCTGCACGTTCACTCGGCTCATCGCCAGCGAAAATCGCTTGGGTATGAACACAAAAGATGCGTTGAAAAACGTCGGCGATAAGCGCGCGATAATCGTCCTGGTGTGGCGTCCAGACTTAAAGCAGCGCAGCATGGCCTCGCCCCCTTTGTTGCCTTTTCCCGAGGGTGGAGTTTATCTGGGTTTGTGATGTCACGAACCCGGGAAGTAACTTGTTGTAGTCCCTACCAGCCGTTTTTGTAGGCATTAAACTGCCAGAATTTTAAAAGACGATATCTCCGTTTGCATTGAACTTTCAGCTTCGTAACTTTGCAGATATTGTTTATGCTCAAACAGGAACATTACACACTAACTAACTTTAAAAAAGTTAAATCGTAATGAACCACCCCTTTAATTTCTTCCATGGAACAGAAAAGAAGATGCTGCTCATTTCTTCATAAATGTGAATGGATATTGTTCAGCTAAAAAAAAAGTTTTCTAATGTAAGTCTTCTGAAGATATTTGTGTGACAAACAGACAAAACTTTAGCTCTGAAATCATATGTCTGTACATTCAATTCCATTTATAAAGTAAATTTGACATGTTTTAGGAAAACATTAGGATTACATTGATCTAAAGTGACAGTGAAGACTTTTACATTGACGCAAAAGATTTCTATAAAATATAGATATAGAACTTATATAGATTTCTATATAAACAGAACAACTGTTTTCAACATTGATGATAATAACTGTTTCTTGAGCAGCAAATCAGCATATTAGAATGATTTCTGAAAGATTGTGCGACACTGAAGACTGGAGTAAAGATGCTAAAAATTCAGACGAATTTGCAGGCGCGTGAGAGATGCGACACCTTTCCAAATGACAGTGTGATAAGCAACAAGCTATCAATTATCATCTAGCGGCTGCCAGCAGAAGCCATTAGCATAAATAATTATGGTAAAATATTCATTGAACAGAGCCGGATGGCACACGTCGCAAACACTCCGTGCACCGAGCCCTGTTTGAGTCAGCCGATGACCCGAAAATCAAATCCTTTTTAATTACGCGTACGAGCACCCCGAGGCCAATCAGAAAGCCCAGACTCAGCAAACGGCCCGCAAACCAGAGGGAACGACTAACTAGTGATTAAAGCTAGGTTCCTCCGGTTCCACCGCACTACTGCTTAACCGGGTCTTTGTCCATAAATAAACAGGAAAAACAGCAGCACTCCATGACCGCCGTGTTTTTCCAGTCAAATACTTTCGCTTTAGTTCATTAGAAATCTGGGACATTCCTTTTTCTACTCCACAGCACACAAAACGAGGGGTGGATTGTACTCATCTGACATCATTCCAAGCATGCTGATGTAGTGTAGAGAAAGAAAGACACATGCAGAGAGAGAAAGAGATGGCCCTATTCACAGCCGTTTGTTCAAATATCCAAGCCCCATAAAAAAAAGGTGGTGTCACAAAGGAGAAAGGGCTGACTTTTCTTCCTCATTAACCTCAATTGGTCTGACGTCCTGCCTTTGTTGGCATGCTATGAACAGACAGGTCTCCGAAAAGATCCATCCCACCTCAAGCGGCCATAAAAGAGCCAAGGCAAAGCCACTTGCTCTTGATGGACAATCTAAGAGCTGTGTGTGTGCTTTATAACCTTCATTAGATTCTTCTACAAAGGTGAAACTGTTGAATACAACGAAACGGTTCTAGTTTCCATTAATTGGAAGTGAGGTGTGAATTCGAGTTAAAGGACGCCCACCAGTAGCTTAGCAGGGTATAATAAGGCTGCAAAGTTCGTTACGTAAGGAACTCTGATTCACCTGGCAGTGCAGAACGCTATTGATTTTGTTTGCTATCCATATTTCATCACGTTGCACTGGTAGTATTATCCTTTAGCCTTCAGTGAAATTCATTTTGCCACATAATGTGAGGCAAAAACAACAAAAAACTCCCACGAACGAAAGCAGGCGCTGCAGGGGACGTGAAGTTTTCTT